TAAGCTAAGTTTATTACCTTAAAGACTCTTTAAGTGGCTGGGGTACTATTATGTGCTGATGATGACTTTTGAGAAACTGGAGAATTATTGGTTCAACTAGATCCCTCTGGTTCTCACAAATGACTTGACTGACCTAAATGGCCACTGAACACTAGATTTCCTAAGGAAATGTCTTAAACACAGTATCCTATTTTGTAACTCTTCCTTTTGGTTTAAGAAGTTCCTCTCCCCAGCACCCCAACTTTGCTTTTTTCTTTTCTGTTTGCCTCTGCTGGCAGAGCACAAATGACTCAGAAACAAGTTCCTCAGGTTGTAACTGTGATACAGTGCTTGGGTCATTAGCCAGTAAGCCAATGCCTTTGCTTAATCATCCAGTCTCTTTAGGTGTGTTGCCATCTCAGACTGCTGGGAAAGCATTCACCGGTGTAGAAAGAAAGGGCTCGCCTCCAGCTTGGGCTTCTAGAGACCTTTCTCTCTGGGAAGAATTTTGATGTTAATTAGAAACATCTCCAGAAGATTCACGGAGTTACCCAGGTGAGGTAAACCTGTGAGGGACCAGCATGGGAATCCTGTACTCTGAGGTATGTCATATTTCTGAACATCAGAATCCAAAGGTCTTAAAATTGCTTGTGCTTCTCAAATTCAGTTTTCTGTAGCTGTTAGTAAGCTTTTCTTTTTCTCCTTAATTTTCTGTGTGATTGTTGTCAGAAAACATTCTGTGTGCTAGTCTGTTTAATATTTTAACACAGGTGATTTTGAAATATTAAAATTAAGTTAGATCTAAGTCTAGTGTGATTTGATATACTTTTTATGACATTCTGTTTGCAGGGGGAATTTGGTCCGGAAAAACCCAGTTTGAGCTATGTTTTTCTCATGCTGAACTTCCAAGGCAAAGAGAAACCTGCACCAAACTGGATTTTCTAAAAATCCAAAAGATTAAATGACTCTTCTATGAACTACATGAATAGAAAGATGCCTTTATCTTGGTATTTGAAAGAAAGTTTACCTCTAGGAGTTGTTATTGAAGAGGATACAGAAAACATAGAAGAAAAGAAAGACAGTACATTTTTGATATTTTGAATATTTCCTTTCCATAACTGATCAATATGAAACACTTTTTCCCATATTTAAAGTAACTTACTAGAATCAAATATATTTGAATTTTTCAAGAGTATAGAGAGATGTTTGAACAAGAGTACCAGAGTTATAATGACATTATATGACTTACTCCCACTCCTCCTGGACACAATTAACTTGCTAATCTGCATTCCATTCTCTGAGCTCAAAAGCACCTCCTTAGTTGATTTTGATCTTCTAGCATTAAAGGTGGTTGTTTTACACCTCTTCTAATAAGTGTGTGCATGAACACATGAACACGTGTGTGTGTGTGTGTGTGTGTGTGTGCGTCTGTGTGGGCATATTTGTTTGTCTTTACCAAATGCTCTATTTGACTATTTCATCCTTTTGGGAATGGCTTAGTGATTTTTATATCACGAAGAAGTCATATATCAACAGGGACAAAGCACAATGTGTTAATATGCTACTCTGGTAATTCTAGATTTAGGATTATCTAAGTATGAAAGAGAGAAACTAGTCATTCCAGAGTTTCTGATTCAGGTTGTAGTAGGGTCCAGAAAACTAGGGCTTTTTTTGTTTGTTTGTTTTTGTTTTTTTGAGACAGAGTCTTCTTAGAGCCATAGCTGTCCTGAAACTCACTATGTAAACCAGGCTGGCCTCAATCTAACGAATCAATACCAAACTGGCAGATAATTCCACTGTAATGGTAGACAATTTTTAAAAATGCAGCCTGCTTCTGTTGGGATTAAAATTGTGTGCCACCACACCTGGTCCTTTTAAAAATTTATTTATTTTGAGACAGGATCTCACTGTTGTGGCCCTAACCAGCCTGGAACTTAATATACAGACCAGGCTGGTCTTTTCCAAGTACTGGGATTAAAGGAGAGCACTCATGCCCTTTCTAGAAAACAAGTTTTGCAGAGAATTCCAGGGGATTCTGAGGCGAACGATCAGTTTACCACTGTCCTGAGAGAGCAATCCTGTGCTAAGCAGGTGCTTTACAAATTTTCATGAGCTTGGAGATAACCTGGGTCTTGTTCAAATACAGACTCTTAGTCTATAGGTCTGGGTGAGGCCTAAGATCATTTACTTCTGTAGGGACTTGGTGATAGATAACAACTCAGCTGTCAGGAGAAGTAAAGACCATATGGGCATGGTGATAAAAAATGGAAACCTAACAGTTCTGGGAAACAGAAACCTAGCCCTGGAGAGGATAGGAACTCGGCAGTTCTGGGAAATTGAAACCTAAAATGCTAAATAAGTCCTGTGGTCATGATCAATCACATCTCGAGATGGAATAAAGGAGGTACACTCAGTGTTCACAAATGTATATAAACACTTGCCTAAAGCTTTAATAAATGAGTTCCTGCTAGACAAGACTCCCTGCCTCCTTGGTGGTGCCTCGGGAGCAGAGGATTAGGACGGCAGCAGTCCCCCTCCTCAGCCCCCGTCGTGCTGTGTGCGGGAGCCCCCCCCCCCGCAACTGGTGCCCCATGTGAGAAACGAAAGAGATACCGGCTGAGGCCAATCGGTCTTTTGGAGTGAGTGAGACCTTTAGTAACATAACCTCTAAGAAGCATGAGCCAGCCCTGGAGGCGTTGCATTTTATGCTTAAGAGCCGAGGGCTACGCGTTTCAGACTCTGTAGCCAACCAGGTCTGGGAGACTGTGACTCTTTTGGCCCCATGGGTCCCTCCAGCCAACCGGTTCTCAGCAGACACCTGGGAAAGGGTTGAGGGCTTGGCTAGGAGAAGGGAGCTGCATTTTGGGATCAACCCCCTTTGGGATTCTATCCCACCATATCGGCCCTTAAAGGGTGCTTTGGGGGACCCATCCCCACTCAGGAGTGGGAGGCTAGGGATGGGGGTGCCCTCCCTCTCTGTGAGGAAGAAGGAGAGATTAAAAATAAAAAAGACTGGGCCTGGTTTGATGAGGGGAGGAGCAAGGCTGGGGCACGATAAGTTGAAGCTATGTCAGCCAACCTCAAGGCCCGGCTATGCCTAGAGGCAAAAGAGGTCTTGCGGGGAAGAAGGTCCTGAGCCACTTCCCCACTGCTGGCGGAATAATTATGATACCCTCCAGTGGGGCCCAGCCAGCTTCCAGCCGGGGAAGCGTGCTGCTCATGCAAGGCCCCCTCTGGCACCTATGGCACCACAATGGCTGGTGTGTGCAGAAGCATGTCGGGTCAAAGCCCTGCAGCCCTACCGATCCCCGTGCCAAGCCTTCCCTGTTAACCTGGTCCCAGGACCAGGGAGACCCAGGGATTGGTACCCCTGGGAGGCCAAGGATCTTAAGGAATTAAAGGCGGCTGTGGTGCAGGATGGCCCTAATTCAGCCTGGGTCAATACTCTATTAGAGGGCTTGGCTCAGCAGCCCTGCATGCCCAGAGACTGGTATGACCTGACCAGGGCAGTTCTTTCAGGACCACTTTTTGTTAAATGGCAGGCACTATTTAAAGAGGAGTGCCGGGTTACAGCAGAGCAAAACCAAACAGCCAATCCCCCATCCCTTTTACATATGGGCAACTGTCCGGTACCTCTGATGGCCATTCAACTGGGGAGCAAGCAGCCCTCCCTCCCTTGTACAGAGAGCAAGTAAAGACCACAGGCTTGTCAGCATGGAGGAAGCTTAATGAGGGCCCGACGGAGGACCCTATAATAAAATTGAGACAAAAGCCCTCTGAGCCACTTCCTGAATTCATAGATAGGGTGCAGAACAGTTTGATAGGAAATTGCCTCCTGGGCCTTTGCAGAACGAATTTGTAAGAGTTACGGTGTGGGACGACATGAATCAGGATCACCAGGTGGCTTGCTCTGGGCTTAAAAATAACTCCATGAGTTGGTGGATTGTAGCCTCCCAGCATGTAGGAACCTGGTCCCATGAAATTCACACGCTGACTAACGTGCTACAGGTGCAAACTGCTTCATTGGTGGAAGCCATGACGCAAGTCCTTGCAACAACCCAGGTGGCATGGCTCAAACAAGGGGGAGGGGAAAATGTTTTAACTGTGGGAAGAGAGGGCACTTTAAGCGAGACTGCCCTGAGAAAAAGGGACAAACCCTAAAACAGGGGGACCAGATAGGCGTCAGGCCAAAATACCCTGTCCTCGCTGCAAAAAAAAAAAAAAATCATTGAAAAAAGGATTACAGATCTAAGTTTAATATAACTGGAAAGCCTTTAAACTAATTCCAGAACGGCCTCTAGCCCCGTTATCAAAAGGAAGACCTGAGACGAAAATAACTCAGACCAATTGGACGGTTCCCATCTACGAAGGCCTCAGGCCAAAGATAAACATCTTCAAGGGGGAAAATGATTTCACTGTCTCATTGATACTGGAGCAGATCATACCATACTTAGAAAGGAGGAGGTACCTAGTACATGGCCTCTAAAACCCTGCGCACAAGTTTTGGGCGTGGGCGGGCTTGCTAGCGCCCAGGAGGTGCAGGGGCTGATAGAGTGGAGGGACGCAAATGAATTTAGAGGTGAGATCCAGCCCCTAGTAGCACCTGGGTTTCAGTCTAATTTGCTTGGTCAGGACCTTCTAGGCCAAATGGATGCTGTGTTGACCACAGATAATAAGACATTTTATAAAGACCTCTTAAAACAAAAAGAGTTCAACAGACTCCCCAAAAGATTAAAGAAAACTAAAAAACAAGAGTTCTCAACCTTTCATAATTATCGGGGAGAGCCCGATAAGATCCCCCGGCTTCACCCCCAATTCTGAAGGCCACTGCCCCTCAGGTTCTGGCTATCTGATGGTTCCCGGGGGTGCTGGTATGGGTGGAGCAGTGGCCACTACCTGAAACAAAGTTACAGGTTTGAAAAACATTGTGCAAAAACAATTACAACTGGGCCACATCTGGCCTTCTGTAAGTCCGTGGAACACACCCTTTTTTGTTATTAAAAAGGCCTCTGGCAAATAAAAATTGCTACAAGATTTGGGTAAAATCAATGCCAGAATGACCCTAGTGGGTACACCCTTAAGGGGGCTGCCTGGGATCCCTGCTATTTCCTCAAATTTATTTCCTATAGTTATAGACATTAAAGATTGTTTTTTCTCTATCCCTCTACAACCCCAGGATTGGGAAAAGTTTGCTTTCTCTGTACCTTCCACCAACTTTAAAACGCCTAATGAGAGGTATAAATGGACTGTTTTACCCCAAGGTATGGCCAGTAGCTCAACATTCTGCCAAAGCTATGTGAAGACCCTTTTGGGGCCTGCCCTCTTACTCCCTCACACCATTGTGTATATTTACATGGATGATATCATCCTGGGAGCCCCGAGCCCCCAACAATTAAGACAATTACAGACAGGCGGGCTCCATGTATCTGCTGATAAAATACAAACTGTTGCTCCCTTTAAAATCCTGGGAACCGTACTTTCTTTGGAGGCAATAAGTCCTTTAAAACCACAATTGGCTGTCAAGCCCCCCGTTACCCTGATGGAGCTGTAGAGACTATTAAAAAAAATTAATTGGCTGAGAGCCTGGATACCTATTTCCACT